TAGATTGGTTTCTTCTTCAATCCTGTGGGAACCGTGATGGTCAACAAGTTCTCTGGTTCAATATAGAAGGCTTGTGTTTGCTTTGCAAGTTCGATGTCCAGTAAGTCGGATTGTGCAAAGGCCCTGGCAATATTCCTGACGGTGGCTTGGCTGGCTTTGATCCAAATACGATGGTTGTTGACGGTGCGGTATGGTTTAGCCAACTGTTCGAACATCGCGTCCACAAACTGGTTGAAGAGCTGCAAGATAGCCGGGGTCAATGATTGGCGTAGAGGAACAACATGATCGGGGCCAAGCTCGGTCAGGCATCGAACTCTATGGGGGTCATTGGCCGCCGCCACCATTTCATCGAGGTCGATGTCATTCGTGTCAAACTTGGTGAGCGAAATGGTATCAGCAACCTCAGAATTTTCACTGTCGCCGTCCGGAACTCGGAAGGACACCGCGCCGAGTGGTGCTGAAGTGTGGGTTGGTGGGTTGGTTTGTGGTTCCGATGGTGGTGGATCAGTAGGAGAATTGGGTCGAGCAGTGTGGTGGTCGTAGGCGTCGTTGTAGTGGCTTTCGTTCCATGTACCCCAGGTGTCATCAGCATCAGGAGTAGGAATGTAGTTCGGATTGGATGGGTTTGCAGCAGGTCGAAGTATGACTTCACGGCCTCGGGATCGGTGACGTGGTGTCGCGGAGCGTGGGCGTGGATGGGAGCGGTGACGTCGAGGGACCACAGGAGAGCGGCGTCGTGGTGGTGAGCGTCGTCTGTATGGAGATGGTGTTCTGCGGCTCTTGTCGGGTTTCGTAGATGATCGATGACGAGGGAGAGGAGAACGAGGTCGCTCTGTACGTGGAGGAGAATGGCGAAGGCGATAGGAATGTACAGAAGGTCGATGGGAACGTGATCTTGGAGTTCGGGATCGTGGTCGGCGTGTTGGTGGTGGTGGACCGTGTGGTTGGTGAGGAGGAGCGATGGTTGGAGCTGGGACAATGCGATGGTCCTGAACGTCCGGTTCGGTGGGTCTGGCCTTTGGTGCAGGTGGAGGCGTGGCGATCAGTGGTGGTGTAGGTGTAGGTGGCGGTATCTGTGGTGTAGGATTCGGTGGATGTTCATCTTGTTGAAGAAGGAGTTGACGTTGTTCGTGTGCCCGTTGAGAATCCATGAGTAATAGTTGCTGAGCTTGGATAAGTCGAACAGATTCGGCCAGTTGTTGTGCGGTGGAACCCAGGGATGCAAGTTCAGGTGGAACGGATGAAGTCGGTGCTGTCTGAGGTGTCGATGGTGTAGCGTGAGGAGGGGTTTTCGGAGCTGGTCTGCGCGGTCGATCCGGTCTTTTGTCAGAGCGATGCCTGGGAGCTGCTTTGACTGCTGGGGGCCGTGGTGAAGGCTCATTTGGAGGGATCGTCGATGCGTCCATCTGTAATGGAGGTTGAATGTGGTGAGGTGGGTATGGAGAACTGGGCAAAGGAGTCGGTGTCATAGTCGATGTAGGTGGTGTAGTCGATGTAGGGGATGGAGCCGAAGTGGAAGGCCACGCGGGTGGAGCGGTAGGTGCCATAGGAGATGGAAAAGTCGACGGAGCGGTGTGTACCATAGTTGGTTCAGGAGCCAAAGGTGAAGGCATGGTGGGTACAAGTTGTGGACCTGGTACTGCATGAGGAGCCGAAGTCAATGAGGTGAACGGCAACGATGTTGGGGCGGATGTAGACGGCATGAGCGAAGCGGAGGATGACCATGTAGGATGCAAAGCCGAGGGATGTCCAAATAAATGTGCACTCGGTGTCGATTGCGGCCACGTCGAAGATGGGTTCGAAGGCTGTGGTGGAGCAGGCCATGATGTTGGAGTGTTCCACGGATGCATCGCTTCAGTAGGTCAAAACAAAAGTGGACAATTGTAAAAAGTTTCACATACAGGATTCAGTCCCTAACTACCTACAAAATCGTGCAATTATTCCCTGCACCGGGACCGTGGTCAAGTCGTGCCGCAATGGCATAAAACAGCTTTCAAGTTCCAACGAATTAGGTGCACAATATGTTTCACCTCACCAGACAACCATCAAAAGAAAGGATCACCACACCTGAAAGTCGTGTGCCTGCCTGATTTCTCTGTCATGATTTGATGCAACGGTGTTGCAAAGCAGCTGCAAAAAACGGAGGTTTCAGAACATTCGGAATGGCTTCCCTTGAAAGAACGCAGCACTGGGGTCCCTGGGACAATAGGAGCGGCGGGACATCACAAAAGGCGAATAACCGAAAGGCTGGCTGTTGCACTTTACTTAAATGAATTACTGAGTTGAAACGTGTAAATTCAGAATTCAAGTCTGTCAACACTCACCCTGAAGAGGGTTGCCTCCAATGGCTCCATGGCACCATGTCGGAGCCACCATGGAAATCACACTAGACAAGAATGGATCATTATATGATCCGGCAGGAACTGAATCCTGAAACATGCAAACCAGCCTAGATTATTAGATGAATAAAAGAGCCACATGAGGTACTTCTCGCAAACGATGTAGGGCATCCGAAATTGTCAAACGTAGTCATAACCAGATTCCATAGAGTTTTGACCAGCATGTTGAAATCCAAAATAATGTTTCGGCGATTGTTTCCCAAAATAACCCATAGTTCGTCGGCGACAGGATCTCGGCGAAAATAAGTCAAAAAAACATAATACTGTCGGCGATATGGTTTCGGCGAAAATCTGAGGAAGGTTCTGATGCATGTAAATGTCAAAATTGATTCCAGATTGCGTCAACAGTGCAGTAAATTGAAATTTCAAATGGACGACGTGGAGGTTCTTGGGTTGAGCCTCTTCCCATTTCAGTAAATTGGCAGGTACGTCACGGTGATCAGCCGTGATATCACAAGCATTGGATAGGTGTCTTCGTTGGCACCTGACCTATCCATGCTCCAGGTGCCCCCTGCAAATTAGTGAAAACCAATCAGAAGTTTTACATCTGTTCAGATGGTACACACACACACCCACACACCCACGCACACACACACACTTGCTCAGAAAATTCTTATCGAATTACTGTTGTGGAGTGCATCGGTCGTGCACAAACAATCCCTTAAAGTCTGACAGGTGAGAGTTGGATGACATGGCAGGAAAACCAGTAAAGAAGATTGCTTTCTTTGTCCTTGCAAAAACAACTGTTCCATCAGACGAAGTCGGCAGTAATTCAGATTGCGAAAACCGTACAATATAATGAACCTGTTGACATTGAAGTTCTGAGGAAGGTCCTGATGCAACTGAAACACTGAACAACGACATGCCGGTTCTTGGCTTAGCCGGTTGCCATTGACGGGAAAATAAAATGGTGTTGCAGGTACGTCACCAGGCGTCCCTGGTGATATCCTAGGATCATATGAGGAGCTTCGTTGGATGGAGCCTCATACGTCCTCTCCATCCCCCTGCAAGTACGAAGTAAAATTGAACCAAGTCAAAGCTATAGGAAGTTTTACATCTTTTCAGATGTTACACACACACACGGCACACAAGAATTATTATGTGTAGATGGCTGAAATCCTGCGTTTTACGCACTTTTCATGCCATTGCCATCCACCTCTGCGCAACCAGGAAAATGGGAAAAGCAAGCACGCCAAAGCCACATATTCAAACGGCTCGAAACATTACGCCTGGCACACTAAACGACACGTCCGAACTGCCAAACTTCCGCAAATTGCCAATCCTGCGCCTGCCAAATTTAACAAAATAATACAAAATAATCATAGAATCTGACGCACCTGCCACTCAACTTGCATTGGTCGACTCCTTCGCGCGGCCGTTACACTTACACTCAGGATTCTGTTCTGTTCTAGCCGTGCGCCTCGCGGCGCGTGGGCAGACTCTCTTGCATCGAGTCAGAAAAAACTCTACATAAATTGTCCAAATGTCGCGGCTAGCGCTCAATGGTTGAGAACCCATTGGTGCGATTGTCTCGTTGCGTACAGCTTCTAAAAGGTTTCGCATCCTGCCAGTAAAAAGAACCAGCGACAAAATGTCTGGTATCAAGTCTTTGCGAGGCCTAGCCACAGTCCTCACACGGTACGTCGCAGCAAGAATCAGCAAGGGGATTTACACCCAAAAAAAAACGTCATCAGACGTGTCTCAAGTGCAGCACCTGGCACATTACACGCAGCAACGTGCCAAACATGAGACTCCTCTTGTGCAATCGTGATGCACATGGATTGAGACTCGACACGCTAACCCTTCACCATGTATTCAAGAAAACTATATGCGCATGCATAAATCTTTTTGTCTACTCTCCAGCAAACGCAGTCACATTCTGACTCTGCTCCAATCATTGCACACACTTTCTCTTGTTTGGGGTACTCACTGGTCACTCTTGCAGGAATTTCGAAAGAACACCGTGAGGGATATATCGGATATATGGGTTTCTTCGGGGTCACTATTTTGGGCTTTGGGTGTCCTTTGGGTGTCTTTCTCCCTGCGTTCCCTGAGTTCTTACTGCCAAATGAATCGATGGTAAACCCCGCCACGAAGGTTTTTGATCCAACATGACCCAACTGAATTGAGAGTAAGCAGCCGAGGATTTAGGCTCTGTCCATGCTTGAATCAGCTGATGATTTCCATGCAAATGTCCTGCAGCACAGACAACATGTAAAGTGAGCACACCACTTCAGCCAATGTGACTGGATCTACCGGGTAATACAAAGGGCATCGAGGGAAAGAAGCCTAATGAATGTGTCAAATTTTGAAGATCTTTGGTAGGTCCATGTTTCTATGTGAAGGAGAAGCTGTGACTTGTTTGGTCCTTCCGGTCTGCTGAAATACCGAATTTCTCACGCCTCGGAGTTCAGATAGTTTAGGAGGTCTCCCTTCGAAAATCCGTCAGATAAACCGGAAGAACATTTCAGGTTGATAATGGTGTTCAACCTTTCCAAAGGCAAAAGGCTCTCTACAACATAGATATGACATATGTGACATAGGATATCTGACATAGATGTGAAGTGATCTCAAATGATCTCAGATGATCTCAAGAATTTGCTAAGTTTCATGGTGATTCTCTTGACTGAGGCACGCTTGATTGGCCACCTCCACGGAAATTTTCCCTTGCTTGGCAAGGCCATAGAGGGCAGCAACAGCCACCTTTGCTGAGCGACAGAAACATTCTCGCACCACCATCACCACAGAAACATTCTGTGTATGTGACTGTGCTACAAGATGCGCAGGGATCTACCAACTACTAAAGGGATCTAAAGGGTAAGATATGGTAAGATAAGGTACAGCAAGAGATGCAGACTATATCAGACTATGCAAACAGCCATAGAATGCCATAGACAGCCTTTTTTACGGCAAGACACGTGCTCCTGGTCCACCTCGAAAAATCGTCGCAAGGCTTCCCGTGTGTCAGAGCGTCCAAATCCATCAGCGCCCAACACCTGAAGATTCGAACAGTCAAGTGATGTCAAGTGACATCACTTGTGATGTCAAGTTATGTCAAATGCTTTCTTGCTGCTTTTTGGCGTTCTTGTGTAAGATGTATAAGGCATTGTAAGGCACTCTGTGTTGGTTAAAGATGATAGAAGCTCAAATGTTGCCACAATGCAAAGGTTCGCCAGGAGCAAGTGGCAAACGATTGAATTGTGGGGATGCAATCGGGATGCAAGAATCAACGATCGAATCAAATTGAGCCACTTCTTACTGTCCAGCTCTCGGTGAAATGACACTACAGTAGCGACTAAGCCAAGAAAGTTTTCACAGTTTCATGGAACTTGCAGGTCTACAACTCAGGCACAGACGATATATTCGCCCGTCACATACGGGGCAATCAACATTGGGTATGCCTGCACATCACAAAGGCCCACTGTTTCCAACGAGGAATAGAGATCGCAAATTGAGTACAAATTGGTTATAGCAAAGACCCTTCCCGCGCCGTCATGTTGTCCGAAACGGCGACAGTGACAACATCTTCGCTGAGGCATTGCTCAACCCAGGAAGGCTTTGCCTTGCGCGAGAATGGGAGATTTCGATTGGTGGAGTGGACATGTGTGAGGCAATGGACAAAGGATTCAGAAACTGTACATATTGGGATGTGAACTGCGCTTCCATCAATTTGACAAAAAGAACCAGGACACAGAAGCGTTTTATATTTTGAGCAACTGCTTCTTTCAAATCTTTCAATTACATTCCAGAATGTCTTCATCTGCCTCAGCACCAAGACGGCCATCTCGTTGGCTTGCAACAGCGTCACGTTGAAGTTCGCCATAGCCTTACTAGAAACGCTGCAGCTCGATGCCATGAGCTGTGGCTGCAGGCGAGGAGCTTGTGGCACTCCAAAGCTCCACACCGACACCTAAGAAGAGACACTGACAATTCCTGGAGTACCCTCTGGTAAACTAACATAGCTATGGAAAATCACCGTTTTCAATGGGAAAATCCACTATAAATGGTCATTTTCAATAGCTATGTTAAATTACCAGAGGGTATATATGATATTATGATATATTATTACAAAATTACAAAATGTGTGGTTTGTTTCCCGCTTTTGGATCTTTTGGCACGTCCATTGTCTGACAAAATGTCACCGTGCTGGCAGTTTAGGCATGCGACCATATTCAGCTAGGATGTCTATGGCGTCCATGGCCTGTAAAATCTGTAAACAACAGTGCTGCAAGATGCTGCAAGATGCTGCAAGCGTTTTTCTTGAAAGCAATGGAAGTGGCAGATCATGGCAGATCTGCACACCACAGGCCTGCTTCATGATCGCTCCAGATCCGATCAGCCGAACCTTCCCCAGGGCGAAAATCTCAGACGCACTGCTTCGAAGAAAGGGATAGAAAGGGTACTTCTATGTCCAACATTGTCCAACATTGTCCAACGGATTCCACTGGAACTCTGGAGCAACCCAAATCCCTGTGATGTTTCCATAGACTCCCCCAGCCTTGTGTTCCGCAGGCTTTGCGTCCGAGAACTTGTACAAGCCTTTGACAATGCCCTCATCGGCTCCCTGCACTCCAAAGCCATGCTTGATAGGCAGCAAGGTCCACAATGCTTGCTACAGAGTCTGAAGTAACAGATAGCTGACTCTCTTGCAAACACTATGCAAATGGCACTCGGCTTACCTCTGGTTTCTCCGGCATCGCCATATTCTCATTATACGCGGTGACATAGTAGATGACATCTTTGTCCTGGAGGGCCACACAAAGGGAAAGCGGAATGTAAAGGAATCTTCGTAAGATTCAAAAAGATTCAAAAACAAATGCAATGCGAATGCTCATTGCGCTGAGCGCTAATCTTGCTGATCTTCAAGATTCTTCAAGCATCGCCAACTTGCTCATCTTCTACATCTCGCTTGAAATCAAGTCCTCCCCCCACATTTCTTTGACTCCATTTTCAATGATCAGGGCCATCTCATACCCAAACGCAGGATCGTATCCCTTCACAGCCTGAACCACAGACAGCATAGACAGCGCTAAACTCATTAGACATCATTAGACTCTATCTATCTCTATCTTATCATCCGAGGTGAAGGAATGAACACCCAGAAATCTTCCAATCGCAACGATGGCACCACGTTCAAAGAGCTGCAACCGACTACATATCTAGTACGCAGAAGGTAAGAAGAAATTGACTTTGCATGATAGTAGTGAGTAGTGTTGATACAGTACATGTTTCAGCAGTGTTGATGCAGTACATGTTTCAGCAATGTCCCCATCCCTGATAGTCCATCAATGCAGACAGGCAACAGGGCAAGTCAAGGCAATGAGCAAAGAGTGCCCATCCTTCCAGAGTTTAAGCTTTGGAAAGCTTTGGGCCGCAGGACACTATGCATACTAGGCCAAGTCATGCCGGTCATGCCGGTGTTAAGCCGGGCCTGATGCTGCAATCCTTCTCCATTCAAAGTAGTGCGTCCATAGGTTGCGCCAATGAGAAAGCCTCGTGCTCGAGCATCAGCGGCTTGCCAAATACTGTCACCAACCTCAGGATGTGAAAGTGGCAGAAATCAGCAGATGGCATGATGGTAAAAGGCTTCGGAAGACTTCCAAAAGGTTTCCAAAACAAAGATCCAAAGACTCCAAGCTTTGAGAATTTGAGAATGGGGGTTCCATGGGGTTCCCTTGTGAACTCTGCTGCAAAGCTGCTCGCTGAAAGCCAAACCTGGAGACAAACAGCAACAATGTCATGTAAGTCATGTAGCCAGACTTCGCTCTACTTGCACTGCATCACTTAGCACTGCAGTAGTTTGCGCAAACCAAGGCGCATGGAGTAGTAGATGAGGAAGGGCAAAGTGGGCGCGTGCTGAGAGGAATAGGATGTTGCTGAAGCGATCCAAGTCATAATGGCTCCGCCTTCACCTTGGGCCAAACAGTTTGGTGAAATGATGATTGATAAATTATGATAAATTTATATATATATATTATTGATGTAGTTGATGTAAATTGACGCTTGGCTGGCCCAGAGCTGAGACCCCGTCTGATTCCTTCTTGCAATATTTGTCCGTTTGGAGCTTCCGCATATTTCATCACCTGTGAATTCGCAAACAGCTTGCGAGATCTTGGCGTGCTGATCTTCAAGCCAATTCACAATAGCCTTCACATTCCAATATCCTCATAATTTCCTCATAATTTCCTTATCCTCTTGATCCTTGTGCCATCTTTCGCCTGCCTGATCTGCATCTACTGGAGTGTAGTTTTGCCCAAATGGCGCATGAATTTTGAAGATCGGGAAGAATGCATCGATACCGAAGGTTCTGGACCTTACAGCACAGCGCTATCCCCTGGAAGTGTCCCACTTTGGTTAATGTCTTTTCTAGCTTCTGGCCAAGTACCAGTAACGCCTTCTATATACGCATATGTCCGGGATGTTTCACACATTTGAACCTCATATTGTCATATATTATCAACTTTCGGGCCAACATCCATGAGTTATCATGAGTTGTTCTCAAACGAAACATGTCTACCACTTGCAGGGTTGCTGACTGGCAAGTTCAAATAAGGAAGGCATAGAGTGAATGCAACTACTGTACAGGGTATCAACATGGCTGTTGCAACCGGAACCCAAACGCTACAAAATTGTCCTGCTCCAGTTGCCAGAACACACGTCAAACAGCTACGTATGGTCCTGACTCTTGGCTGTTTGACCTTCTCAGTCTGTGACTCGTCAGTGACCATAAGCGTCACTCGCTGGCCAAACTCCCCCGCCTAGAGCAAACCACTGCGCAAAAAAAAGCCCGGATTTGTGAAGAGCAAGACATGACAAAACTTGTAGCAGAGCCTGCATCATCTTGCGGAGGACTTGAGCAAAGCACATGGTTGTGCTGATCTCCCTTCCTTTGCTACCTGCTCAACCGCTTTGACCAGGTGGGATACACCTTCTCTACATGTAAGATCTTCGTGCAATGGATACCACATCTGGTCGTTTCCCATACTCGACCAACTTTCTAGGATCAGTATGCAACTGTCATTGAAACAGTGGCATGCCGCAGAATCATTCAAAATTCAATATGGAAGCATATCCTAAGCTAGCTTCACCAAAAAGCCTGCAGCACATTCTAGAAGTCTTCAGCACATATGCAGGGTTACGGATTTCACGAGATTGTCCTCTCTTTGTTTGATCCATTTTGATGCCAACTGCCAGTTTTAAAAAGCATCTAAAAGCCACCATCCTCCAGGACATGAGCCTTCATCAAACATTGAATAGGCCGTCTCGTGCGATGGCAGCTCCACCAGAGCAGAGACCTTCAAGAAAAAGGGTCCGTAAAGCTGTTCACAAAGCTTCCTTCTGCACTCAACATTCTGAACTCCTGTATACTCCTGTGACTGCAGCCGTTGACCGGTTGAACCATGACCGGCCCTGCAAGCTGCTTCAAGCACCAATGTGCTGCCCATCAAGAAACCAGGCCTTTGCTGGTTCGCGTTTCGGAAGGAAGCCACCTAAATCGTGCCGCCTGTCTTTGAGATACTTCACCTTGCGGACTCAGAGACAAAAGTGCTGCATTACGGTTTGGTAGATTGGTCCGTGTCAGTCCCAAAGATAATCAAAGATGTACATGTTGTACAATGTAAAATTGTATGACCTAAGCCGGACCTAAGCTAAGCAGCTACTGTAAGCTCATGAGTACAGGCAAGCTGTTTCACTAGCCCAGGACACGGAGCCTCTGGCGAATCCTCCTTGAGCGCAAAGAAATTTTGGGCCTCCGGGACCATGAATGTGGAATGATATGTGATGTAGAAACAATGTAGTAATAATGTAGTAATAGGATGTACAGTAATAGGATGAAAGGACATCTGTGCAATGTCTTTTGTGCGATCCCAGGTTGACAACTCTTTCTGAGCAACCAACATCTGCCGCTTTGAGTTGCTCATCTGTGAGCGGAATTCCCATCGCATCACCTCAGAAAAGACTTGTTGGAAAGGCTGAAAGGCTACTGAATTTTTAATATCCTGCAATCTCCTGCAGTTTATTCTGGGCGTCCTACGGTATTTCTGCCTTGGAGCAGGGACAAAGCATGGAGGGCTATGAGTCTCAAGTTAAATCGCAAGTTGAACAATGAGGTGATTTGCTATTATAGTGCTGCAGCAATATCTCCAAAGCTATGGTGATGCTGCGCCACGCAAACAGAAATCCTTGATGTCCATGGTCAAGCACAAGTAAGCCAAAGTGCATATCAGAATCACTCATTGTCTTCTTCTGGTGCACCGTGTTTCTACCCAGGAAGGTCTGCAAGCTGTACCCCTTGGCAAGTCAGTCACATGGATGAGCCTGTGGGCCTTTTGGAAAACTAGTGGACAAATGATAGCAAATCCATGCAAATCCATTCAAATCCGCTTCAATGAAGCAAACGGCAAAACATCTGCGGCCAAAAGTATCACGAATATGGAACGCTGACAGTCATGCAGCAACTTCTTCGCTGGCCTTCAGGGTCTTCACCAAAATGACCTTGCAAGGAGTCACAATCTCCACTTTTGGATACTTTTGGACTTTTGGCGAGCTGACTTGAAGGACTGACTTAATATAACGCATTCTCTCTCGCGGACAGAGCAAAGCGTGTCTGATTTCGCAATCCACAGCGCGCCATAGACAGTTCAAGACAAGCGGCTGATGGACGGCCTCCCATGTCAGAATTCTTTTCAGCCTCCAGGACAATCTGAAAATCTTTGAAACATTTTGAAACATTTTGAAACTTAACCTTGACATACTTAGACATACTTAGACATACTTTGACCATCCTTGACCATCCTTGACCTTTGCCCACTGTTACACTGTTGATCTGGAGGGCCACCAGCCTGGGAGAAGGCTGCGTAGATCTTCTTGTGATCATGACCACCAGGAGTCTGGAATGCCTGTTGGAATGTTTTGGCAAAGTCCGTGCAGGTTTTGAGGCAAAAATCGCAAGCACTGGCGCCCTCTGGCAACATAGATCAGGAGATCCAACCAGAAACGATCGGCCCAACTGCGCAATGTCTTGGCCTCCAACAGCTCATCATCACTCCAATGTGCCACGCGGTCTAGGAGCCCATGCTTTTCAAAGATATCCTGGAAACATCTGGAAACTAGAAACTCATTCAACAAGGGTTGGACCCGTGCAAATACTATAGGAGTCATGCTGGCATATGCTGGCACAACCCAAAACCTGGCATCTTACTGTCAGGAACATGTTAATCAAGCTCCTTTCGAATGAGGGCTCCATCTGCCTGAACATCCAGCATTCAACAGATCGACAGGGCGTGTGGTGCGCTCAAAATTCAACACTGTACAGCAAAGATGGACGCACATTGGTTTCTTCTTGCGGGTTCACTGTTCCATGTTACAGGCAAGCCTTGGCGTGCAGTCGCTGGCAGTCGCCATCGGGCGTTGCTTCCAAGGCCTGACAATCGGAAATCAATTGGATGTCTGAGTTGAAACCAGCTGAAGAAGCACAGCCATAACGCTAGATCAAAAGATACTCAGATACACGTTGATCATCTTTGATCCACTGCTTCTCTCAAGAGAAACGCAGTCATGGAGTTGATACAAAGTTGACACCCGCACGCTCTGCATATCTCTGCATGTTTGTTGGTCCATGTTGGTCCCTTGGTGCCTCGATCAACTTTCCGTCATAGTCGTTCTCGATGAGCTCATTAAACTTGCCACCCCAAATGAGTTTGATGACATCGAAGCCAGCACCGCGGAAAGTTCCTTCGTACTCTTGGAGTACCTTTGAATTTCCTCGGACAGGTCCATCCAATCGTTGGTAGTTGCAGTTGACGATGAAGATCATGTTGTTCAATCGTTCTCTGCCTGCCACTGAAATGGCAGTGATGGATTCGGGCTCGTCCATCTCACCATCGCCAACAAAGGCCCACACTCGACTTTTGGATGTGTCAGCAAGGCCACGGAGGTGAAGGTAGCGGAAGAATCGCGCCTGATACACTGCGCCCAGAGGGCCCAAACCCATCGAGACCGTGGGATTCTCCCAGAATGTGGGCATCAGCCGTGGATGGGGATAACTGGAAACACCCTTCCCAGCAGATTCTCTGCGGAAGTTCATGAGCTGATCTATGCTGATCCTGCCTTCCACAAATGCCCGGGAGTAGGCGCCCGGAGCAGCATGACCCTGCATCCAAACACTGTCGCCCCTTCCATTCCCAAAGTCCTTGCCACGGAAGAAATGGTTCATGCCCACCTCAATGACGTCGCAAATAGATGCAAAGGTGCCAATATGGCCACCAACGCCCCCACCCCGTCTGTTTCCATCGCTCACCATGACTGCTGCATTCCACCGAATGATGTTTGAAAGCCGCTCCTCCATCGCACGGTCCCCAGGATAGGCAGGCTCTCCAGAGGTGGGGATTGTGTTGACCATAGGGGTAATCACTGGTTGGGGAATGTGAACACCAAGGCGAGCTGCTTCTTCCATCAAGTCATGTAGCAAGAAACGTGCACGAGTTGGGCCCAAAGTTGCGACCACTGCATCAAGTGACTCAAGCCACTCATCTGTTTCAGACTCATCAAAGCGTGGCCTGGCTGCTTTGATTTGCTGATGATTGGAAGGATAGTGTCCAGTGTGCTGGTGCATGAAAGCCAAGGAAGCTGAGAAAGAGGGCATTTCACCTTGCAATCCCTTGGCGAATTCACCATATGTGATAATTCCAGACTTGTCTGTGTCGAAGTGTGTAAATAGTGTTTCACTCTCAGAGTCACTCAACTTCAGACCTACACTGGCCATTGTCTCTCTGAATTCTTCAGGATCGAGTCCTTTGGACACGTTTTGGTCGGCCTTCGCAAACCAAGTGGCAGACAAGCTTGACAGACAGGTCACGCCCTCTTTGGCAAAGATTGAGCTCAATTCGGTGAGAAGGTCATGGGGCCCACGTGTTCCCACGTTTGAAATCCCAACGCCTGAAGGTACACCACCATGTCGCCAGTGCAAGGCACCCCTTGTGCATGGTGGGAGCACACGCAGTGCCCGGAGGCCACGGCCACGGAAAGAGGCCAACATCTGCGCAGCTCAAGCGCTAGCGCAGCTCTCAAGCCAATGGCTGCAAATGCCAAATGCCAAGGCCTAACGAATCGGACAGGAATTCAATGCAATCGTTTAGATCTATGGCTACGACGACCGGCAATGATTGGTGTGAAAATGGTTCCGAAACAATCACAGGTAAATGCAAAGCTGGGTCCTTTTTGCCTCCACCACCACGACTTCAATACCCTCGCCATTGCAAGTTGTTGCGCAACGACAAATGATAGGCATGCTGTGCAGCCCGGAAGGCTCATACACGGTCTATCACCTTTGACGGTCTCTCCGGTGAATCCAACACATTTCTTGAATCCGACATTCTGTCGAAGAGCATTTGACAGAGCACTGTCACACTACTGCGGTGCTACCAATATACCTGAGAGGGAATGGGAACTCAGAAACATCCCAGTTGTGTTTCACAGTCCTAATTTTGGATACAAAGCCTATGATTTTTCATTCTTAGCTTTGTAGTTTCTAGGGTGCCACAGAAACCATGATTTTGCGTGATGATTCCAAACGTGACTATTGTTTCTGCTTGCAACCATGCCTTCTGATGTGTGCTTGTCAAATGCTTGCTAGGAGGCAGCACCAAACTGCTGTCAACAAAAGAATTATTATATTATTATATAATATTATATATGTGCTATATCTTCGCCACCTAAGAACCATACTCGTGCTCAACTGAACGTTGTAGCGCCACCCAACCCATCCCCAGCCTACTCCATCAGCAGTCATCAGCACATGAGCATCAGAAAAATACTAAAATTCAAGCAAAACGTTAATGAAAAACATTCTAAACTGTGTACGTGCAAAATCCTTCGGATGAGATCCTGTCGTGAAACAAGGAACTCTTCCGTACTTGGTCGCAGTTGACAAACTGCAGCAACAGGAAACAGAAAAAGGATGCAAAAGGTAAAGAGCCACAAGGAGGAATGTCAAAACCCAATCAGTTCAAGCACTCCAAGTTACTTGATTTGCTTACGATGCTACCATAGCTGCGCTGACAGGGGACTCTCCCAGGCAAAGCTAGAAAATATTCAAAACCTTTGGACATGTCTTGGCTGTGCCCTGGAGAGTCCCCTGACGGCCCAACTACAGTTCCATCGGCTGGACGCCTCTGCTGGCACTCCCATGTTGCCACGGCTTAAACCTGGGTTGGGCTAAGTCAGGTTGCATCGTTTCCTTAACATAAGCCCAGGTCATCCAAGCCGCCAAACAATCTTGGACCCTTTGGTGTGATGAAGGCCAATGCAAACGCAGACTGCCAAATGACTGTATCATAGCATGACTGCACCCTAACGAATTCCACCAATCTAAAATTATTTGATTCACTCATTCATTGATTTCTTCTGTCGACCAATCATTCAGTCAGTCAGTCAGTCAGTCAGTGAGTAAGTCAGTCAATCAGTCAGTAATTCTTTTGTCATTTCATTTCATTTCAGGTCATTTCGTTTCATTCATTCATATTCATTCACCCAATCACTCAGTCATTCATCCGTTTATTCACCCACTCACTCGGTCATTCTTTCATCTATTCACCTACTCACTCAGTCATGTCATTTCATTTCGTTCCTGCTCCCAGTTCCATTCCCATTCCATGCCATTTCATTTCATGTAATGTAGATATTCATATATATGTTCACACACTCAGTCAGTCAGTCAGTCAGTCATTCATTCATTCATTCATTCATTCGTTTGTTCGTTCGTTCGTTCATTCATTCTTTCTTTCATTCTTTCATTCTTTCATTCTTTCATTTTTTCATTTTTTCATTATTTCATTATTTGATCTTTCATTCATTAACTTGACTCAAATCAATTCAATTAAGTTTAGAAAAAATCAGTTCACTTGAATTCAGTCCATTCATTAATTATTAATTCATTCATTTAATTTGTTGCTTCTGTTTCAAATGCGTTTCAATTATTTCATTTAGATTCCGCTCTTGTCATGTCACTTCATGTTGATCCAATTTGTCTGATGTCATTTCATCTCATATAATTTCATTGCGGTCATTAACTATTCATGTGTTTGTTTTACATTGTTTCTGATCGTCTTATATCATATTAATATTCCATCTTCCGGAATTGAAGAGACAGGCGGAGCGCAAGGTTGTGGCATAGGAGGTGACCTGCTTGTGTCAAACATTACCTGTTAAAGTTTGGATTGCACAGCTCACGGGAGATGGGCGAGTAGCATTGAGTAGCGGGAAAGGCGCGAACGTGCAGACCATGACAAAACCACTTGGGCGCCACAAGTTGTGTCAGCTTCGGCAGTTCAACGATAAGGATGGCAAACCTTTTGATAGAAACGAGCCGGTCAAGCCTAACGGCTAAAGAGGCTAAAGCGGCCAAGGCTTTTAGACAAACGTGGGGGCACCTGGTGATTTCAATCTCAAGGTACAAGTAGGCGGTTTGCAGGCGCCTTGCATGCGCCTCTACACGCAGCTTTGTTTTTCTGCGTTGACTTGTTTCTGGTCTGTGCGCATCTATGGGCCAGGTGCGCATGGCAACTGATGGCCGACACACCCTGCAGCCAAAAAACGGAGAGAAACATTGTTCATTGAATCGTTCCTCGCATCATTGGATTGCATCATTCAACTCATGCTTTTCATTCGGTCAATTATTGCTTTCCGTATCTTTCAGTCATGTATCCATGGAATGGTTTAATATGATATGGATTGATATGGTTCTTTAAATTGATGCACCCACGCTCTCGTCCATTCATTGATCTGATTCATGTTGGCATCCAAGAAGTCTCCCAAACTACGTAGTTACACAATGTCACGGAAGCAAGTTAGGTCTTTCTTTAAAGGAAAACAGCTCGAGTTTCAAGCATTTTGGAGGCTGAAGATCAAGGCAAGAAACCCGCTCATGATCGCTCATGTATTGGAAGGCATGCACAAAGCATCTGATGACATCAAGATTCAAGCGCGAAAGGCTCAAGCCACATTGCATCCTGAAAACCCATACGATTCAATAGGTTCCCGTGTTTCCAGATTTGTCCATTGGGGACTCAGTGGGCTTCCTTCGGATACAATGAGTCGGCTGCTGCGACTCCTGCAGCATAGCCGCTGGACCAGCAACCTTGGAAGTTGAAACCTCCAGTGATTCCATCAACATCTACAGCCTCACCTGCGAAGTGGATACCAGGCCGCGACCTTGACTCCATCCTTTTCCAATCCAATGCATTTAGGTCAACTCCACCAGCTGTAACAAACTCCTCCTTGTTCGTGCGTCGACCTGCTACGCTGATTTGATCTTGTGTTATTCGAGGTAGCATGACTTTGGACAGTGCTTGTGCTGCTTCTGCCTTTCCGAAGAATCGCCATGGCCATTGGCTGACTGGGACAGAAGGTGTTTGACTGAGAATTGCTTTGCATCCAGGACTGTCAAAAACCGAAAGCTGCCTCAAGTGGCTGGTCAGGTCACCGTCTGCATCGGCATGTTCTAACAGCCGCTGCCATAAGCGAGCTGGCAATACGCCTGGCCATGGCGATACCTCCCCCACTGCTTTTCGACGAACTGGAGGCTGGTTTGCACGCCCCCCTGGTACTTCCATGATGGAATTTACCATGCCTTTCTCTGTGAGGTAGGGAGCCCAGTTGATGTCTAACATCGCCTTATAATCAACTTCTTGAAATTGATACGCACCCCACGCAGACAGTCGGAGGATTGCTGGCCCTGAGATTCCTTCATGAGTAATAAGAACGGGCCCGCGAATCTGCGGAGTACATAGGTTGGACCCTTTCCACACGCCCTTCTCTGCATTGATCTTTACACCAGCGTCTTGCACTGCCACACCCTCTAAGCCTCGAAATCTGGAAGCTGCCGTTGTTGAGAATTGCAGTGAAAACAAAGATGGGGCCACAGGTCGAATTTCTGCACCTGCATCCCTCAGCAGAGCTTGGACGGAACGTTTTTGAGCAGAACCAGTACAAATTACGAGCCTTTTGCAATGAATCTGTTGGTTCTGTTGGTTGTCGCCTCTCGTCCCCTCGCATTCAACTATGTGGAAACCTGCTTCATTCGCGTCCACTGTCAGCGCCTTGGTGCTGAGCAACACTTTGATTCCCAAAGAACCAGCTGTTGACAAAAAGCAATCCACGATGCTCTTGGAAGTGTTGGATGCTGGGAAGACTCGACCATCGTCCTCGGTCTTGAGCTGAACACCCTTGCTTTCAAACCATCGAGCAGAGTGTATTGCTCCATGGGTGGTTGCCAGAGTCTCCATTAGCTTAGCTCCTCGTGGATAACTGTTCTGAGGCACACCATGCCTATGCAAAACATTGCATCTTCCTCCACCTGAAATGCTTACTTTGTGAAGCAGTTTACCGGACTTTTCCAAAATCAGAATATCTGGCACTTTTCGGTATCCATTGGAAATTGCTCTTTCTGCAAAGCTGATTGCTGCATAGAAGCCAGCGGCACCACCACCTATCACACACAAATCGGCTGCCAAAGGCAGCTTCTGCAACAGCATGTCCTACCACAATTCCACTGTTTAAGCCAAAAACTTTTATATTGAAACCTCCAGGTTCTCATCGTAAATTCCTGGTCAGCGTGTGATGTGTGTGAACACTCACAAATGAAGCAATGAACAAATCTGCAGGTGTGCATACACTCGAATTCACCTACCTACCAGCAACACAACCCACATGCCTCGTCCATTTTTCACCCTGTCTCAACAGCAACAGCTTTGCTCTGCCATTTCAATCTGTCCAGGCGGAAGCTATTCTCCGATTTTCCGGAAGTCGCTCACGAGAGAGCAGAAGAAAATGCTCTCCTCAACCAGAAATGGACGTATCATTCCCAAATGTCAAAATGATTTTGCCAACTGCTCGCCGACTCTTCATCCTCTTGATGGCAAGCTGAATCATATCCTCTGACTGAGTCAGGTCATAGACGGAGTCGATGGCAACACGTGTCAAGGCACCAGAATTAAAGAATCCATTAAGTCTCTTCATCAATGCTTTTGAAGGTGCTAATAAGAACCAATCATAGCCAGGTCGCTGCACTCGCAGCTGGAAGAAGCGAGTCAAAACATCGAGAAAACCTCTGATTTGATCTAGAACATTGGGACATGGGCCAATTGTGATATATGTTCCATCTGGCTTCAACACAGGTCGCAGGGTGGGCTCGTAGTCTGGATCTTCTGGAGCACTGCTCGAGACGGTATCATAGATTACATCAAAGCTCTGTTTTTTTCCGATCAAGGCGTCCATCTCGGTTTTGCTTTTGTAATCCACAACGCTGACGCCAGGATACAGGCCTCGGACGAAGTCCGTGTTCTGAGTGCCACATACGCCAGTAACATTCGCCCCAATGGCACCGGCCAAGCCAACACCAAACTGACCACAACCTCCTGACGCTCCAATCACGAGAACTTGCTGTCCTTTCTGCACAGAATTCCGCTCATACGCTTGCATTGAGGTTAGGCCTGCTACACCCAGTCCTGCTGCCTCAGCATGAGTTAGCTTTCCAGGTATAGGCGCAACCCAAGCACAAGGAACAACTGCATATTCTCCAGCAACACCAAGGGACAAACCCCACACATGATCGCCTACTTTCACATCACACGAGCTGGATGTGCCGACTGATAGCACAACTCCAGATACATCATATCCCACTGGCCAATCTCGTATATGCCTCAGAAATGGCCAAGCAGTGAAGACCATAGGATGCTTGAAGTTGGATGGATTCACCGAAACTGCCTTCACCCGCAGCAGAAGGGAAACCTGGGAATGATGAGGTATTGGAACCTTGGCCATTTTCCAGTCAATTTCAAAGCCATCCAGCGCGTAGATCGCTGCTTGCATGGAGGCACTTCCAGTAATTTTAGCTGAGTCATATGTCAAGGTGTCTAAATGTAAGGAGGAACCCCGCAGCGCTTCCAACGTACCTACCACTCCAGCTGCAAGCAAGGCCAAACAGGACAGGCACGCAAGCCGATTGTAACAGCAGCCCACCGTCAACAGAACTACAGCGATCTCCACAACCGGAAGTACAAGAGGCAACATCTGGGTGTCTAGCTGCACAGCAAAGCACAATTGTGGGCTCAAGGCGGAAAGAGTGAGAACTTTGGAAACTAAACAAGTTGGAAAATCACCCTGCATCGGAACTGCATCATCCTATGCATCTGGGAGAATTTCGAAGACTGATGATAAGTTGCGATTTAGACCCACCTTGCTAAAACATACTGAAACTTGAGTCCTGTGTTTGACCATACAAATATGTGCTTGACACATTTATAATTCCTGTCTGCTTGGGGGCAATAGCAGTGCAATAACAAGAAAATCATCACATTGTACACAGCTAGTACTGCCGGACCGCACGACAGCAAGCTCATGTGTTTACTGTCAGTCTGCAGCAGCATGCCTCTCTTCTGCTTCTTTTCTCTCAAGAACAGTCTCATGGCAACAAGCCGCTCTATGTACGTTGTGGATGTTGTGGCAGCGACTGTCTAGCGCCCTACACCTTCAAGATGTTGCTGGGTTTCACTTGCACTGTGCCATCCTTACATCCGCTGGGCATAGCCGCGTGCCGAGAAATAGCTTGTGCAAGGAATGCATTTTGGATTGACAAGTGAAGATGAGAATATGCTGTCAAGAAGTCTTCACCAAAGTGACCCTAATGCAATTGAATTGCACACGAGCGTCATCACCATCCAGTTCAATAGCGAACTTGCCAGTGCTTGCCACCAGGGACCGCAAGACTCCAACCTTACCGTTGAGATTCTCATCCTCCAAACCTTGCAACTTCACCTGCCAACTCCGCCAAAATCCCCCAGGAGTAAGTTTCTGCAAGCAAATTTGTGTAGCAAGTAGGATGCCAGGATGCATGAAAGTCGATCGAGGATGTGAAAAACAAGCCGAGAGGAGGACTGGTTCTGTATACTCTAGCCATGTTTTGGGCAGTGCGTCTACACCCGATACTCTGTGTGGCCTAGTCAAAGGAGTCTTGAGATGAGTATAGGAAGCATACACAATCATATCAATCATATATATATATGTATATATATATGTATATATATATATGTATATATATATATGTATATATATATATATATGTATATATGTATATATATATATGTATACCTTCAAAACCAAAAACCTTGAAAAAAGCAGGTTGTTGGAAATAACCATGTTTTTGTACCAAAAACCCGGTTGTTGGAAATATAGCTCTTGGTGGATTAGTAATGTTTGATGATGTTTGATGGTGATCAGTGAAGTTTGATGTATGATATGTTTCATGTGTGAACTTGGGATTGTAGCTGTCTTCACGGCTCATCCGCGGTGATACGCGGCACTTTTTTGTCACCACTGCGTCCGGATACCAAGTGAATTTGCCACAGCCAGAATCTATCTGATATATCCAGCATCTCTAAAGTGCACATGCGTAGCCTCAAGGCTTCTTTGAAGGGTCCGCGTCACAGCCAATTGCGTGCTAACGCGTCTGCTCAAACGGCTTGGTTTGCCGATGTAATCTTCAGCTAACTGACAGCTCCACACCAATGGGCTGAGACAAAATCCAGCCGTTTTCACTTGATCAACCATAAGAAAGAAGATTTCATGAAGCCGGTGCAAGTTGGGCATAAATGGCAGTAGAGCCCTGTTTTCCTCAAACGCCGCACGCGCAGCACGACCATTGAACTTGAGAAACGCAAAACCATGCGCAGCAATTTCTCGCGCCTTGTCACCTGGAATCCAAACACCTTCTTTGTAAATCTTGGAGAAGAAACTGTCAATTTCAACAGCGGCAATGTAGCAAGTGTGAAGCAAAGTGTCCTCAATCTCGTTTTCGTGTTCCCTGCATGTTTCAATGATGAAACGAAGCAAGCAAAGAGTTGTACTACCTTTTGACCAGGCACCACTTGGAAAGTCAGTTGTCTGTATCCACTTGACAGTCTCCTGTGAAAGCTTTTTGATGTAAGGATGTTGATTTCGAAGTTGACACCAGCGAAAAAACAAGTCATGCAAGCTTTCAAACCTTTTGGCTACTGAAGAGCCTTCAAGGATCTCACTAACCAAGACCAAAACTGAAGAGCAAAATACTTTGCCTGCTCCCAAATGAAAGCCGTGAAATAGGTCTAAGCCGATCATTGAAGTTGGCATCGCCTGATCATGCGGCAACTGCAAGAACACTGGGTCTTGAAGGAATGGTGGATCTAGTCCAACTGTAGTTCTCCACCGGGGTTCGGGGCTTTCAAAATCCTCAAAAGGATAGCCGTCCTGATCTGCGCAACAATTGTGACAGATTCCTTTAGGCGCCGTCTTTGAAGACGGCTGCTTGGCAACTGAACCAAATGTACGGCCCAAGTGGAAAGACTTTTGATGGAAAGGCCAATCGCCAGTCACATAAAGAACCACCAGCCAATGTTTCTCACCTTTGACTGAGAGGGCACCAGTTTGAATGAGTTGGTTCATATCGTCAACTAGTGCTTGGGACATCCTGTCAAATGCCTCCGCATCACCTTTTTTGGGATCATACAGCCCCTTAGGCATGACACCCAGTAGCCACCGTGTTGCCCAAGTGTTTCCGGTGAAGTTGATGTCTTGCTTTGCATAGTCAGTCTCAAGGGAAGCCCTGCGGTTCTTCACGTTGCTCCCAAACCCCAAAAGGCTACTGACATTCAAAACCATGATTGCAGATTTTTTCTTCGTACGGCCTTCGTCTCCATGCAGAACTACAGCACATGTGCGCTCTAGCTTTACCACGCCAGCGCGTTCCAAATCAAAGTATCATGGTTTGGCATAATTTTGCGAAATCTTGACCAGAACAAAGACCACTGAGCCTTGCACCGAACATCATCAGGTTCTTGGAGACCACTGAGTGTATGCCACAGGTTCAAGCTCATGATGTATTTGAACCATGAACTCAGAAGTAGAACTGGGATTTCCGTTGCTTTGGAAATCTGGACAGGGGTCAAAGCAATCGGCACAGTCAACTTGTAACCCTTAGCAACTTTGTGCACGTCTCTTTCAGAATTTGATACAGAGCACTTGGCCAATACCCCAACAGATGAAGCTGCAGCACTGGGGACTTCTTCAATCACTGCCCGGGCCGCTCGTATTGTAGAGCTGCAAGGGGCCTAGGCGAATCAAAACAAAACCAGATCGCACAAGATACAGGGCAAAGCAAGACAGCGGTAGACGTCCACATAGTCGACTTCATTGGCATGCAAGTGATGCACTCTTACGCTGTGTTGTGCACTCTTACCCTGTGTTGTAAGTTCATGCTGGGACCATTATTTTTCTTTTGTTAACCCACTCAATCAGCTGCAGTTTCAGCTGACGATTGCAGCATAATTACAAATTTTGTGACACATCTTCACGTTCAACCGGTTGTGAACGCTTCGAAGTTGATGTCAAGTCAAGTAGGTAAACTGAGCAACATCTATGGTGGTTTCACCTTGAAGCTTCTGTACACAACATATGCCATGTACACTCCCGAGGCAGTTTCATGCTGGCAAACCGTATCACCTCCTCGACGGATGTTCTTCATGCCAGGCTGGCCTTGTGAGAGCGTGATATGAAGACAATATATTATATATTCAATGCAACAGTTTACCAACCAATGTTTGAACTGAAGGAAGCACCCCAATGCTGCTAGGGTACCGTAGTATCGATCGATGAGGGAGGCTTCAAGCATTGCAATGCTCCATGGCTCTTTTGACAAAAATAATATCACCATATTTGTCCATTGCGATTTCTCCCACTTGTACCCATACCGGCGGTTCTCCCACCTAAACTTGGGATCCGAAGTGAACCCCACCTTGAAGATGATGGGGCCGTGGCAGGTATGGATATCATCAATTACTCGGATACAGTGTTGTAAGACAACACCGGCAGACGAAGTCTTCATGGGCAACCAAAAAGAAATTTGGTCATGTTTCTCAAGCTCATCAATCAGTGATGACACAGCTGGGTCGTCCATAGTGTTACGAACATGGCTTTGCCATGACATCGAAGCATTATGATCATCCTGGAACTTGTGGCATGCAGTAAGGTTAGGCGACTCCTTGGGGGTCATCTCAACATCCTTTCGCACTGCTGGGACAGGCCATGGAAAAGGACCAGCTTCAACCTAGGCCGAGCACTGAGCCACCAGGGCTAACATGAGCTTTGTAGAATCTGAACCCGGAGCCTTTTTAACATAAAAAATATGATATTGTATTATATATTATTGTATGACCGATGTTATGACGTATTCTGCCATGATGATATTATGTACATGATATATTTTGGGATCTTAAGATTTGATCAATTTGGATAAGTTGCTGAGCGGTGGCAAGTAAGCAATTCCAGCAGCTCTTCCTCTGCGCTCTCCATTGCTTCACTCGCGTGTTTGAAACGTCCACTTGAAAGAAAAATAACGGATAATGTGATCTCAATGCAAGTTGCAATGGTGCTTCAAACGTTGGATCTTGCATGGTTTGACCAAAATCTGAAAGGTTTCCAATGGTTTCCAACTGTGGCATTCCAGATTGGACGCATTGAGGTCCCCAACACCATAAGAGACGTCTCGCATCCATCGTCGCAGGCTTGGTCCGGCACCTGGCAAAGTTGGTCCAGACACACCATGAATATTTTTTTTAATATATATGATATGCATGGGGGTGTTTGGATAACTTGATATAAATTGCACAAACAGTCACACAAGTTGGTGACAAATTGAAATCTGAAGTTCCAACATCATGTTTGAAAGATATCTTGAAGGAATTTGGGGGGGTACTTGGGGTATCGCAAATAGAAGCAACCAAGAAATCTTTTCCATCGCTACTGCTCGCACCAACAGTGATCCTAAGTTGGTCGCATTTGGCACACCTGCTATGATTCAAAATGGGAATTGCCACGGCCACATCCTAGCAAAATCCCACAACTCTCAAAAATTGAGAGTGCCACCACTGCTATGCAGTGAGAGGTTCAAGCTGTTCACTGACGACGGCGTCTTTTGGGCGCCGGCTTCTTAGCTTCCTCCTCACCTTTCTGCTTGACAGTCTTGGTGGGGCCTTTGGCACCAGGGGTTTTAGGCGTCTTAGGGGGATCCTCGGCACCGTCAGCAGTGGACTTGTCGTAAAACTTCTTGGCGCTCCTTAAGTTGAATTTAAGAACAAAGGATTTTGATGGCAGTCTTGGCCATGCTGAGGTTGGTGCTTGACCTTGAGTTCAGCCGCTGTGGCTCGCGAAGACCTCAAACCATAGCAGTCACTTGAGACCTGAAGATATAATAACATAAGCTGGGCATGTTGAATGGCAGATACCATGACAATATTTGGTTATAGTTCATGTATAGTTCATATACAGTAAACTCAGTAAACTTTTATGCGTAGTAGCTTGAAATATGCAGTGCAGGGACTGAGAACCGTACACCATGGTAGCCTCCTTCATCTTCTTTTCGGCATTTGCCCACCATCTTAGGAAGAATCAGCAAGGAGGAACTCCCAAGAATTTTTAGATATACTTTTATCCAATCGAGTTTTGTCACATTCTTTGCTGAGAGCATGGCTCGGCAGTGAAGCCATCATTCTCTCCCTTGGCCATCAAGTCAATCATGATCTCATACTGGGCATCAACCTTGGCAATGTTGTCCTCCAAGGTCTTGATCGGCCTGGAGAAGTGCAGTGTGGCCACAGCATGAGTGGTTCGAGGCGCAAATCCTGGGGTTTGTTGAAACTTGTCGCATGGAACAAATAAAACTTGGCAAGCCAACTAGTGTTGTTTGCTACTAAGGTGCTTTTCAGAATCCTTTGCATAATTTTTCCCCAAGTCTTTGATCAAAGCTCTGAGCTTGTTGATCTTGGTGAGCAAGCTGTCGGTAAAGCGCTTCACAACGTTCTTGTGCTGCGCAAAGGGAGTGGCAATGATACTTCATTCTGACAATTTACCAAACAGTTTTGTGTATCCTGGAATGGAATTTGATCTTAACTTCTGGCTACCATAAACCGGCCTCGATCTGAGCAGAAACGGTCTCTTCGGGCGCAGCAGCTTCAATCTGCTGTTCTCGTTCAAGGTGTTTGTCAATGCCTTGAAAAGCGTTTGGGTCTGCTGCAGGCATGTCACTGGGAGCCACCTGATCCAGCACAAAGGCATGAAGCGGGGTTGGAGGACTAAAACCATGCATGCAAACATATGCAAACGAAACAAGAATGTAAGTGAACCTAACCTTCTTGTTCTCACGGTAACTCTCTTCATGGGTCTTGCTTTCAGTATGCTCAGCCGACTCCCGGATCACCACCCAGTACTCTTGCATTCCATCATATCTGTTGGACCTGGCGCAAATTGCAGGCCAGAATTTGTGGCATTTGGGAACTGCAGCATCAGGCCTGATGTGGGTCTTGGGCGACTGTTCGCACACCTTCTTGACACCGGCAATGCGCTGCCTAGGGCAGGAGTGCAAATAAAGATGCATGAAAAGAGTGACATGAAAAGAGTGACAAAGTAGTCTACATGTTTTTGTATAGCAAATCTATGAGGAATAGTTGGCCACCAGAATTGGGGACCCTACGTGCTCCACTTCAACTCATTCTTCAATTCAAGTTCGCTATACCAGCCCTCATTGCGTGTGATCTTGACCTTCATCTTCTTGCGAATGACCAATTCCAGCTGGGTAAAGAATAGCTCCTTGGGAAGAAGAGTGCATAATATTTATATAACAAACAGTGGTAATCTATGTGATGGAATGACCTGAACCCCGCTCCTTGTCCCAGTTTGTGTCCTGGAGCAATTGAGCCATCTCGTCCTTCTCTTTCGTGCCCTTCTCCCACTGTTCCTTGACCATTGCGGGTGCACAGAGGTCAGATCTACGTTTCTTCTCAGCAATCATCCTCCGGATGCGTGCCTTGGCAGCATTCCGGAGGAGTTCCTTGGGCACGGTGTGGCATATCAGAACCCTATGGCATACAGATTTCAGTGCCAAATTACTGTATGTTTTATATAATTGCTATATAGTCTATAACGCACTAAAGTTTATTAAGGTTTGAAGGTTTCATTCATGGTACTATGTCGTATGTAGTACTGCCTAGGCACACGTCTGGTGAGTGGACGTCGAAACCTCTTCCCCTTTCCCTGAGCTCTTTGTTGATCACCCTTCGCATCACCTTCGTCAGCATCTTCCCCAACAGGTGGTTCATCCTCTTGAGGATTACCATGCTCGGCAACGACCTGTAGCTATCGAAATTGATTGATATGGGCTCATGATGTGTTTACGTGATACTTCATGAGTATATAGGTGCATACTTGACATCAAATCAGGATGATACAGGGTGTTATCATGTTTTAACACAATCAAAGGGGATCCTGGCCTCAGGCGGTGTCTCAGCTCCATCATGCTCTTGGCAATCTTGAGAGTCCGCCACCTGAAATGAATTGTTTTCAAATCATGTGTGACGAGTACAGCTTCGCATGCGGTAAGTAAATAAGATTCAACTGGTTCAACTACCATAGGACTGAATCATTTATACTTCTGCTGGGGTCTCAGCTGCTGGTTGTCCAAAGGGATCCCCTGGCTGCGTCTCAAGTTCAGCAGTCGCCTGGGCAGCGATTGAACTAAGGCCAAACAGAGTTAACCATGCAGGGATGCTCAGAACTCGGCCTGGTTGGTCTCTGTGGCATTGCTAGCCTCATGCTGCGCTTCAAGCTCCTGTTGCACGGGGTGGCAAAGCCAACAAAATACTTGGTGGGGAATAGAGTTAAAGGTCTAATTGCTACCAGTCTAGAAGTGAGTGGTATTCAGTGGTCCTTGATTTCCTTAAGGATAGCTTCTTCTTGGGCTAGAAGAGCTGCTTCATCCTCTTCTGTAACCGCACCATAGCCATCGACTAAAGTGCCACAGCTCAAACCCACAGAAGATTTTGACATGCCGTCGGCAAAACTCAGCCTATCCCCAACTGGCTGGAGCAAATCCACGGCTTCAAATGCACACAATTCATGATTTGATACGGCAAATGCTTCCCGCGACCTGAGCAGAATGCTAAAACTTCAACCTGAGCAGAATGTCGAAAGCAACTATCGTTTTTTTTGTCGGCTTTCAATCCCGGCGGGACAAATTGGTGGCCCAACTCAAAGTAGCTGTTAAAACAGCCGTCGAATTAAATCGGTGTGAGTTGGTTTGCATTCACAAGCACCCAAAATCAGGACTACCAGGCATCGAAAAAAACCAGGTTTGTCGTTACGGGGTTTTACGGGTTACGGATGGGTATTTATGGTGTACGTACGGGTTACGCACGGGTTACCAAAAACCAGGTTTTTGGTGGTTTTATGGGTTGTGGATGGGTTTTGAACGGGGTTTTTACGGTGTATGGACGGGTTTCCTACGGGTTTTTACGGTGTTCCTACGGGTTGTGGACGGGTTCCTGCTTTTCCGACCCCCAAAATCAGTCAAAAAGTGTTCAAATGTGCTCAAAACTAATATGGAATATACCTTGTTTCGACAAGCGGAAATTAAAATTTAGAATATTCGATTTGGAAAAGCTGGTTTTCATCGAGAAGCCTGGCATCAACTGTTCAGATCCTTTTGGGAACTAGCTCTTCCCAATCTTTGGGGACTTGAAGGTTGGTACACTTTCGCAAGTATCGAAAAACTGCCTCTAAATCGGCATGGTCAAAAAGACCCGAGTCTTTGCCAGATTTGGATTCCTTAAAGGATTCCACCGCCTTTGGCACCTGGTCTGGGAGGTCAGGGCACCCAAACTTGCACCGCTTGAGGTCATCGATGATCTCCGAGATGGCGAGGCCAAAGGGGTCCGGATAGATCCTGGGAAACAAACGTGGCAGCTATATAGGACCCGGTATGGAACATAACGGATGCACTGAATTGCACTGATATATGATTTGGGATTCCAAAAAAGTAAAAATATATATCATACACCAAAAGCAAATTGTGTCCTTTCCACATAAAGCGCATTCAAGAATCTCCGTTCCTTTGAGACGTGAAGTACCAACATAGCAGTCTTTACCATCTTTGTTTTTGTATTTTCGACATGTCTCCACCTTCAAATGGTTTTTCTTGACCTTCTGGTGTAAACTGGTACTTTCAAAGTTCTTCAACATCCTGATTGCTGGTGAATTGGAGTACGCATATTGTGGTTTGGAAGTTTCAGCTCCAAACCCAGCCATGTGCCAGCTAGCTCGGGAAACCTGGGCCAAACATGAAGTGGAATCTGCATGCATAAAGACAGGTGGCACCTATAGTTCGGCATTAGATAGTTCACATGTGACAACACTTTACCAACTAAGCTCCCTACTGATTTTACGCCAGAGATTGAAATCAATTGGGTAATCAACCAGCGAAAAGTGGGGTAGAACTCCAGGGCCGACCCACCAGGCTGCTCTAGCACCCACGTTCCACCCAGGGCTGTCGTCAGCATCAACAGTAGGCAGATCCTGCAAAAGGCATCATAGATTGAAAGTTTCAAGACCAGGTATATAGACATGTGGACATCGAGACATCAAATATATAGTTATTTTTTAAAAGCTTATCCCTTTGAAAATCACAAAGCATCACCAGCTTGAAGTCAATCTTATAGATCTTCAGTATATATACCTTGTGTATATATTTGTTGACTGGGGATCATGGGAACTCCAACCAACACCTCGCCTCTCCAGCATTTGGTTTGCTTCACGGACGCTGATCTTCAAGATGTCTCCAAGGCTTGCGCATGGGCACCGTGTGCTGGTTCCAACATTAACTTGGGTCCACGAAGAACATTTGATCCCGTACCAAGATACAAAATCATCGAGCTTACCCTTCAGCAGGAAGATGATTGCCAAACTTAGTTCGCCAGTAGGGATGCATGGAATAAAACTCTCATGGAATAAAGATACTCTAAAATAAAGGTTGTTTGACTTGAAACTTGAAACTAATAATCCAACATACGAATATTTTACAAAATCTTCTCGGCAGGTTGAAGCAAGAATTCATGGCTTGGTGCCCCATGGGATGAAACAGGGACAGCTGGAACACTCTTCAGGGAGCATTGAAAGCATCGTTGGGTGATCTTGGTGAATGCTGGAACCTTAAGTCATCAAAACTCAATTGAAAGAAACCTTGGTGGATCAACATCGTAGGTTTTCTCAATTTGGTGTTGGATGGTGTTGGTATTGCGGGTGAATTTCAAGATATGGAGCTGAACATTCAACAGTTTCTATATGTTCCTATTAATTGCCACCAAATGGCATAAATCCACTTGGGCTGTTCACATCCATATAGTTGGTGCTTCCTGGGGGAACTTGATCTTGAGGGTTGTACTTCAAGTCAAATTTACATCCGCGGTATCCTTGGAGCCTTGCAAAGGTGGTGCAAGCTGCATTGCCTGCAAAGAACTCCAGCCAATCATACACCTCAGGCACGGATGAGATCCAGGGATTGTGGGGCAATGTTAGTAACATAATGTTAGTAACACAATGTACGTGACATATACTCTAAAGCTCTCACCTGACCAAGTTCGTAGAGACCTTCCGTCCAAACCACCAGCAAGATAATAAGAAGAAACTCCTTAGCGTGAACCAAAGTCGAGACAAAAACAAACAGCCACAGACCATTGAATGCATTGAACAAGAAAACGCAACAAAACAAATAGTGCATGGATTCATGTGAAATTGGTATGTTGTTGATTGTGAGTCAAGTATCTCGGGGTGCCCCCATGGCACGCAACTTGAACATCAGAGAATTGATGTCCACCATGTTTGCAGCGCTCGGTATTGGTCAGGGGGTTTGAGCGCAAACTCTATGAAACAGTCAGTGTTCGTCATCAATGCATTTTCAATGGGAAAGCATGCTCTGGTTTATGACACATTTGAAATTTGTTCCTCCCAAAAAATTGGCCGGCGAGGCGTTTCGCGTGCCTTTGCCGGGCTCGCCGGGCATGTGAGATGCTGGGCCGCTTTCCGCGGCGAGGAGCCATCCATGCTGACCTTGGGGCGGCCGGTGGCAGTAAGAATGAAAAAAAATAATTGACACCAATTGAATTTATAGAAAATAACATTCACAAATATTGACTGAGAACTATCTTTGGATTTGTGCCAGCCGGTATGTTGTTTTCGAAACCCAAAGCTTCGAACAGCCAATCTCAATCACCGACCTTGCCATGGTCAAACGCTTAAATCTTAAATCATTTAACTATATGGATTCCACCAACCCACCACTCCGAACATATAGTGCATGCAAACAAAACAGCTGAACCAGTTTTTTTTTTAATATATAGTGATTTTGAAGATATCCTTGATGAAGTCAACCGTCAGTGTTTAATTTACACATACTGTACTGTATAGTTGATAGTTGATACTAGATACTTGGTAGTTTCGGAGTTTGCATCGAGTGGTTGGCAGAAGCTCCATGGAATTGCTGGAGCGCAGAGGGCAAAAAGCTTAAAGCCGTGGAATCCCAAAGCTAGGTTTCAAAGCTGTGACCCCACACGATGAAGGCCATTGCCTTTCATCAATCCCATCATACAGCACTATCCCAGTTTGGGAATGCGGCTATGCGCCACCCTCAAATCAAATCCTGGTGAATCACACACATGCCAGCCCGGGTGTATGCGTCCTTGAGCATATCGACCTCCTGGTAGAAGTCCTCCTCGGTGACTGCAGCTGATTCTTCTGCACGTGCTGCCTTGGTAAAGCTGGCGTGGGTTCATATCATATATAATATATAATGTTTGGTTTATAAACGCGGTTTAATGAGGCTCCAGGGTTTGCTCCTAGCTAGAACATGTTTGAACTCTCACAACAATAGATCGATGTAATAAACTGTTCACTTGCCTAATTTCCGTGTATGTTCACAAAAGGACACTGTAAATTTCATATTTGATTCAACATGTTTCCACATGCTTCGAGTTGCTAGGAGCTCTGCGCAAGCAATGGAGATCAAAGTTGAGCGCTGGTCTTTGTCAAAGCTGAAGGTTGCAACGTCCAACTTGCCACCGTCCCCATGCCACATGGTCAAGCCGCACTTGTAGGTGGTCCAGTAGATATTCGGGGCAAAGAACTCAAACTTGGTCAGAACCCGCCTCACTTTCTTCTTGAAGTCGGCAAGGTCAGGATTGTTGTAGTCAATGCCCGTGTTGTTGATCCACTGGGCAATCCCGTTCTGCTCAGTGACGAACTTGTCCAACTCGACATCTTTGGGTTTGGCTGCTGATGACTTCCTTCTTTTGGATGCCTGGTCTGACTCAGTCTTGTCCTGGCGCTTCTTCTGGTTGGTGGTCTGATCAGCTTTGGATTGCTTCACTTTCTTCACCTTTGGCTCTGATGGCAAAGCCTTTGAAGAAGAAGATGCACGAGACCTCTTGGGTTTCGTCTTCTCTGGCTCAGAATTCTCAGCGGCCTTTCGCTTTGCTGGCTTCCCCTCTGACTTCTTGGATGACCTGCTGCTGGTATTCGGTGTGTTGTCCTTCTTCTTGCGCTGCGTCCGTTTGTCAGTCACTTTGCCCTTGTCAGTCTCCTGGTCTTTGTCCTTGGTCTTCTTAGATCTCGTGCCTTTCTCCTTCTTCTCCTTGTTGGCTTCCTTCTTGGAAGACCGAAGAGAAAGTTGATCACGGCGACTGAATACCTCATGGCGTTGGCGTTGCGTGGCAAGAAGTTGCCATGCATCGTGTATTGTTGAAAGTTGGACCGAGTTGGACTATATTTTATATAGTAAGAGTTTTGCTTTATTGCTATAGCTGCTAGGTTGGATTTCTTAATGTGTATAAGCCATCAAAACCAAAAGAATTTATACATGGTATAAAATATTTCGAACTCAAGCTCATCCCCAGGACCTTTGAAGGCGCTTCCTCGGCAGATGGTGCAGATGGAGGCACGGATTGCTGCTTCTCGCCATCAGACTCTGCCTCATAGTACTCAGTAGCATCGGACCCACCAACTGGTTCATCACCGAATTCATCACGTGCTTCACCACCAGCACTGGGTTGATCATTGTCAGCACTGGGTTCATCACGACCATCACGGTTTCCAGCGGGTGTCTGGTCAATCTCAGTGGGAGCCACCATAGACTCATCTGAAATGGGGATGGCTTTCTGGAACTTCGCACGTTTGGTGGATGGGCTGTCAGTTGCCAAGTCTTCATGACCTTTGGGGCCAGAAGTTGTCGTAGGGCTGGTAGCCTCCCGAGCAGCCACATTGGCAGCTTCATCCTCTGCCATGGGAAAAGTCTCCATATCGTCATCACCAAAGATTGGGACAGACTGTCCTGCGAGGGTTTCAAGTTTTTTTATGTTCAGCACTTGTCAGAAGTCAGAAATAAGTATATAGAATTATGATTCCTGAAAATTCACTCATTGAATTGTTCATTGGAATACTTTGCCACAAACCCCAAACCTTCTTTAATTTTTAAAGGTGTTGGTATAGCAACCCTGGCCTCGGCCCAGCACAAGTTTCCCAACCGGGGGCCCCGTTGGCAGTGCAGGTGAAGCCTTCAGACTCAATCGTTTCTGCTGGATCCTGAGAGCTTGAATGCAGCCGCAAGTTACACAGGGTAAGACATACGGGCATCAATGCCATTAACCATTAACCAAGGGTTTTCATGAGGGTTTTGGGCTTAAAATCACCAACGCTGACTTCAAGTAGTTTTAAATAAAGGTTCTGTAGGAGCAAGGCTTTCTTCTGTGCCAAAGCTGCATGCACATCATCAGCAGCGTCAGCCACCACACTTCCTGTGGCCAGCAGGGTTTGGTGATTGTGGTGATTGATTGTTCTGATTTTTATTAATTATAATGGTTTATCATTCCATCATGATGCCCACAAAATCCCATAGATGATGTTTGGCTTTGAACTATATAGTATATAGTTGAAAACTGAAGAGAAACCTAAGGAAGTGAAGTAACTAACAAGTTGCACATGGCTGTCATCCACCCGCACCTGTCCTGGCTGGTGAGGTGATGCTTTCGCTGGCACGCTACCCTCTTTGGAAGGAGCACTGGGGGGCGCAACAGCTGCTGGAGATGCCTTTGGTAACACCTTTTGCTGGGGGGTTGCAACTTTGAAACCAGTAGCCATGGGACCCTTGTTGGTATCACCTGTGGTTTTGGGAGTCTTTTCAGCCGAACCCATGGAATCTTTGGGAACTGGGGCTGCTGGTGGATCAGCGACTGGTGGATCAGCAGCAGTGTCCACAGATTCCGGGGCAGGCGGCTGATCTTCCTGCAAAAGAACGCCAATAACAGCTAACAGCTTTTGAAGCCCAGCTGATACATCATTTTAATATTTTTTTCAACTGTAAGTGAAGCCCGTTTATGAAGCAATGTTTGGGAATAAGAAACCATATCCATAGGGGGAATGATTAAACACACTGCTCCTCCTCCTCATCATCATCATCAGAATCATTGCCCGCGTATTTCCCAAGCTTTCGTCTCTTGGCGTTGACATCATCCACCAGCCCCTAGCGCAACTTCGGGTATGAATGCGACATGGTTTTTAACTTCAACAGGATTGGAACATATTGGAACACTTGGTTGGGAAACATTGGGAAACCACCAAATCACATCATTGGACAAAGCAACAACGGTGAGATGTTTTTTCCATAAATAACACGGTAACCCGTCCTCGAGACTCGGATTGACCAGAAGGCACAGGGACTGAAAGACTGGATCCTCAGGAAAACAAAACAAGGAATGAAAGCCAACTTGTAGTTTCAAATGATACTAGCAATTGCTTTTGGTCCACCACCACCACCCCGCAAATACAAAACAAAAACAAAACTAACAAAAAACACCACAGGAACTTAAGAAACCAATCGACTAAGCTAACCTCCTGTCGCTGGGTCTTGCGCTTGACGAAGAAGACCATGTCACGAACCGACCAAGCGTCATCATCAACTATGTCAGTAGTTGGTTCACGCTGGTTCCTGGCATAGACATTTCCTACAGCTTCTCGAAGACCTTCGATCTCAGCAAGACGGCAGCCACACCCAATCTGTGTCAAGATGGGTATCAGGACATCGTAGTTTGCCACGCAGCGTTGGATCTTGACATCCTTGCCACCATCGTTCGAAACCAACTGCTGGTTGCTTCGAAGTCGATTGCGGATCTCATCCGCTGAGTCCCATTCACCCGGCAGACTGGTGCAGTCCACGTAAAGTGTTGACATGGCTGCTAACCTGGTTGGCAGCTTTCAGCACTAGAGCATAAAATGGGCTATCAATCATATAATGTGGTGGAGTATCAATCATCTAATGTGGTGGAGTGGATCATGTTGCCCGCACTTCCAGGAGCTGCCTTGGGATCCCGGACCTTTGCCAGCTGGCATGCACCGCAGTGCCAAAAAGGGGGCTGCTTCTTCGAGCCCGGGCGCTGCTAAAGCGCAGCAGGTGTGGATAGCCCCTTGATATCCCTTGATAAAATAGGAAAACAAGGGTTTATTGGAAAAACCCGGTTATTCTGGTGGAAACCCGGTCATTGTATCATACCCATTGAATAACCTGGTTACTGGAACATCTCCTGCTATTTTGTGGTGTTTAGGTGCCCAAGGTATACATACATACATCTAGCAATGCGTTCATGATTCATGCAAAGGGCATACAGTAGCACATATGTTTTTTCATGTATAAACGTGTTTGTGCACATCTATTTTATATATATACATACACATATATATATAATTATATATATATAATTATATATATGTATGTATATATATAATTATATATATGTATGTATATATATATATATAATTATATATATGTATATATATATACATATATATACATATACATATATCATGTGACTCTGTATATGTGTACGTGTATGTAGACGTATTTACACATGAATGTGCTCGCATCTTCATTTATTATATTATATTAAAATTATATTGATACAGAGTACTGTAGAATCTGTAGATGTCTTCAGTACGAATCTGATTTGCAGAAATGGCCTGTTGTTTGTTCTGAAGTCATGCTTCCTCGTGTTTGGACCTCCCTGCGGAATTCAAGATGCGGAGTTTAGAACGACTGGCCCTTCACTGTCTAAAACCGATTGTGACAGGGTTGTATTTAATGATTTTTAAGGGTCCCCTGAATTTTGGACTGGCATGGACTGGCATGGACTGGCATGGACTGGCATGGACTGGCATGGACTGGCATGGACTGGCCTTGTCGCCGGCTCGGAGCATCACTGGCTCTTCGGAGCTTGGCTCTGGCTTTGCTTCCGCTGATTCTTCCTTGAGGCCAAACGGCCTCTGCTTTTCTGCCTGCCACGGAGGAAACCAACAGAGTAGGGACATCACGAACAGCCGTCTGCACGACTCCGCAACAGATAGCTGCATGGAACTGTCAGGAAAACGTGCCATAAATTCAGCCCCTGTGTGTAATTTGGATTCAGAAATAATTCGAGCAACGTCAGAACTTGACTGGTGGCAGGTCATTATAGCTGGCCTCCTTTTCGATGTCTGAAAAGTCCCATCCATCCTAAATCATTTTGACAATGTCTGACAGGCTGGGTTGCTGAAACACGAATCCAGTTGTCAACGTTCGCATCAAATTATCTCTGTTTCATGTTGTTGATGCTGCTGTGTCAAAATTTGGGGTCTTTGCTGTGGAGGTTGTCATGCGACTCTGAGCAAGAGCCCATGAGCCTGAACATGTTGTGAACTATTTTTATGTGATTTGAAGCAGGGGGTGAGTCTGCCAATCAACTATACCTGCACTACATACAGAGGGCAAGAATGACAAGCAGCGCCTTTGAAAGAATTAGCGGTTGCATTTGTTCCAGCCAGAGCCAGAAACAAGTTGTGCAGAACATTTACGTAGTTGAGCCTTCAACGCTCCAGGATGCTGTGGTATCGACTCCAATTGTATGTTCCTACGACACCCTCACGGGTTGCATGCTTCAACAAGAAACTCCAATCCTGGGCAGGTAGAATTAGACGAGGTTCAAGAACAAATAACACTGCAAATGCTAGAAGATTGACTCTCATCTACTGAACCAAAATCCAGAAGATACAACAGTGCGACAGTCGAAACATCTTGAAACTAGCTGAATTCACTGAACATAGCTCAATGATACGCAATGAGCTCAAAGACCTGATGACATCTGATGACTATTTAGTTACGAAATCTTGTCCGGCATTGTTTCAAGTCTTTCTTGTAGAGTGCGGAAAAGCCACGTACTCGCGCAGTCTTCCGACCACAGGATATCTGGCAGTAAAGTGCTTGTACCAGCCAGCCAACGCAGTGCGCTGCTCATCTGTGAATTGCTTGAGAGTGAAATCCAGTTTGTTTGCCTTCGGCCCAGTCGAAATAGATCAACATACTCAAAATCTGAAAATCTGACAGTGCAGCCACCAAAAACCTGTATGTAAAATTATAATAAATTATATAAAGCGCAAGCACAGCCCACACAAGTTCAAACTGTTGATAAAGAAAACAATGATATCCCATCAATCTAATCAGCGGAGTTGCATCTTCCGGTTTCAAGGAAAGTACTGCTAAAGCGTAAGTGGCATCTTTGCCAGCCCACAGTCTTCCATAGCCTTCTCCAACCTGATCAACACAGTGTTGGAACTTGTGGATTTGCAGGAAACAAGTCTGCTAACACAATGAACACAGATTGGCACCCTGCAACTGGTAGGATCCAGAAGAAAGCTGGTGAAAGAATAAAACAGTAGGAGTATCGCAGGGACCAAAATTCAATATAACAAAAGCCGCACATAATTCAAACGGTGAAAGAGCTTTATGTATGTGCCTACGTGCAAAGGCTGGGGCAGCGATTTCGAAAAGAGCAAAAACTGTCCAGACCCGAGCCTTGATGTTCTCACTGGAGGAAACGTTGACCTCGGCCAAAATTTCATTACTAGTGATATGAATGTATATGATGTGTACATGATGTGTATATGATGTGTATGTGATGTGTATATGATGTGTATATGTTACATTTGTTACATAATATGTGTCCCAAGTCGTTTTTTTGGATGTGTCGAAGCTACCAGCAGCACGAACAGTATAGTGAAATGATCTGGAAGCGTTGGAAGGCGCAGAGTGAGATGGATTCCTTTGCTCCAAGTTGCCACCTTTCCACACACTCCCATGAAGATTGGCCCAGTCTTTCCGTTGAACAAGCCCAGGAGCTCCAAATCAAAGATTCCATCCTTGGAGAGAAACACAGAGAAAGGGCATCTTTGTCAAAAACGAAAATGCTAGCAAGAAATATCAAGAAATCATAGCAAATCTTCATGACTGATGACTCTTCCTGACTCAGAAAGGTCAAGTAGCTGGTGGCACAATTGCCTTCCTGGGTCGCTTTCGCTTCTGCACAAAGTAGAACAGGATGACAAGAAGCAAACCGACTATTGAAGTGCTGGCCAGCACAAGTGGACTTCGGCCAGCACCTGAGGCTGCAACTTAAACTCTGCAGGGATATCGGAAGATATCGGAAAATCACGGAAAAATGGACTTGTTTCTGCACGTGCAACGGGTTTTTTCATCTGCGTTTCCAAAAACTACTGTACTCAACACATCAATAGCTTCGCAAAGTAAGCAACAAACCCATGGGAAGAGCTGCAGCCACTGAGTCCATCCCAAGCGGTCAGAGCTGCACAAAGCCAGGTTTTCTGAATGTTGGTCTGGTAAGGTATGTTCTGGTTGCTCGGGATATGCGAGTTTATCCACCTATTCCTGTGAACACGTGAACACATGAATGCTTCAAGGTCGATTGTGGCCTTGGAATTCTGAATGGATTGGACTAGAGTCTAAAGCGAAGTTCAAGCTGTGTATTGAAGGACACTCTAGGTTGCCAGAATAGCTTTGGTTCTTCTGCCGGCAAAACTGCGACCAATCCAAAATTACACGCAAGAATGCCCCGAAGTGCACGGCAAACAAATCATAGTGTCCGATCAAACCTTTCGTACCACAGATTTCCAGTTCTAAGTTATAATTAAGTTATAATCCTCAGAAACTGTTGTTGGCAAGGTGGAACGGTGAAATCTGAATCAATGTGGACAATATTGACATAATAGTTAATAAATGTTAATAATATTTAATAATAATCATATCTCAAATTGTGTTGACATTATGTTGCAGAAACACTACGAACAGTTATGAAAACACACAATAAAAAATCATAAAAAATATAAGATTCGCATCATGCCAGGACTGGCAGCTCCGTTTCGCACCGCTAAAACGGCGTCGATCTGCTGTTGTTTGCTCCGCAGCTCAGCTCTCCAGCCTTGGTGGCGGCTCGCTGAATTGAACGCAGACCCGGTGCAGTATGTATGAAGCCCTCGTTCAGAAGAAAATGTATCCTGTCAAGGACTATCGTTTATCTATGTTTATCTACAAGCCTTGCAGAACAAAGAAAGGCCTCATTGATCCTCATTGCAACTTGCTTAGAAACTGAAAAATATGGAATACCAATGCATGGCTGTAGACATATTTTCTATTTAGAAAGAGACCGCTGCAGAACGTTTCCTAGCCAAATATCTTGTCCTGTGTCCTGCTGTTGTTTTTTTCATCTTTTTTCCCTGTGGAGAGGGAAGCTTGAATCTTCTGCACAAAATTGATTGGCACTATATCAAACATCAAACTTCCTGTACGTCGTACGTCAACTTATTTCCTTTCCATTCCAGTGATCTATAGATCTCCTGTTTGGCTTCATTGGCAGTTCACTGTCCTGTACTTGCCAGGCAACGTTGCCGTTCTTCGTCAAACGCTTCGAAGCGAGCACGGGCCTCGCAAAACGCAGACAACTACTTACATGAATGATACATGAATGATACATGAATGTGTGAAAGCGGGCCTCCTTCAAACTGGCTTCAATTTCGGCCAATCGAGCATCATCTTTGGGCAATGGACTAGACCTGAGACTACACAAAATCACTAAGCCACACCGATCCTACCTTTCTCATACATCCTCAAGCATTTCACCAGGCAAGTCGCAGAGTTTGCAAGTCCAATGAATCCCGCCTGGCGCCAATTGGAGGAAGCAAAACTATTCAAAGGTGCTTGTATTGAACGAACAGTGCAGCAGGGAGTGGTCAAAAGCGCAGGTTCATTACCACTCATATACATACCATGTATGCGGAGTAATGTGTGCATGCTCTCGATGTGTGTTACACCACAAATCACTATATTTGATTTGCACAGTTGATTGGCTAAGACAAGCACAATAGTTTGACATTCATTTCAGCATTGTCCAGGTTTTGCTGTAGCTCCAGAATGCGGTTCTTCAACTGCGCATTCCTGAAGCTGGCAACTCAAACTGAATAAAATCCAATGACTCAGCACACACGCCATGCAATGGTCCATGAAAAATGTTGCTTTGCGTCGGGCTAAAGGTGCTTGGGCTGAAATGAGAGGAGAAAGCAGTTGGCTAAGCTTATGTATTGTCTGACCACGAAAGCGGCACGATTTGAGGTAGCGGACATAGGGATCAACAAGAGATTGATTCTGAATATCGACTTGACAAGGTCTTCAAAATCTAGCATGAGATTATCTGCGAAAACCGGTGTCACCGTCCATTTTCTCTGCACTGTGTGCAGCCATGCAATCCGCTGAAAATCGCTGGCTTGGAAAGATGATCGGCTGCCAAGCTGCTCCAACTCAAGCTCCGAAATTCTTGCGGCTGCCTTCTGCTTTGACAAAGGAGAACAAATCTAAGCCTTTCAACATCTTTCAATACTCACTTTGATCCCACTACTGTAGGGTGCGGTTACCGGTGGGCCTCTCTCGGACTCTGACTTGATTGCTCTGCGTCCTGCTGGCAGGTTGAAGCATGTCGCCCATGTATGATATTGATCGACATTGTATCTGACCAGGTACATGTCCGCCGACCCCGGCCTTCGCCAAGGCCGGGGCGGCGCCTGGGGCCACCGCAGGTGTGGACCTTGTCCTCTTCCAAACCCTCCAAACCTTTACCCTTAAGCAGCTTCCCCAACAGGCACCCCAGGGCCAGGGCCACAGCAATGACTTTCTATGAGCTTTCAAAGCTGCCGTTTGCCAGCCTGCAAAGGATCCAAACTTCCAAAATTCCAAACACCTTCCCCAACATGCACCCTAGGGCCAAGGCAACTTCCCCAACAGGCACCCCAGGGCCAGGCCACAGCAATGGCTTTCTTAGGCTTTCAAAGCTGCCGTTTGCCAGCCCGCAAACCCTCCAAAACTCTCCAAAACTCTCCAAACCCTCCAAACCCTCCAAACGCTCCAAACCCTCCTAAACCCGCCAAACCCTCCAAACACCGTCCCCAGCAGGCACCTCAGATCCACAGCAATGACTTTCTTGATGCTTTCAAGCTGCCTTAACAGGGGGCCAGGGCCACAGCAATGACTTTCTATGGGCCTCAAAGCTGCAGTTTGGGGGGCCAGGGCCACAGCAATGACTTTCCATGGGCCTCAAAGCTGCAGTTTGCCAGCCTGCAAAGGATCCAAACTTCCAAAATTCCAAACACCTTCCCCAACAAACACCATCCCCAGCAGGCACCTCAGATCCACAGCAATGACTTTCTTGATGCTTTCAAAGCTGCCTTAACAGAGGCCAGGGCCACAGCAATGACTTTCTATGGGCTTCAAAGCTGCAGTTTGCCAGCCTGCAAAGGATCCAAACTTCCAAAATTCCAAACACCTTCCCCAACATGCACCCTAGGGCCAAGGCCACTTCCCCAACAGGCACCCCAGGGCCAGGCCACAGCAATGGCTTTCTTAGGCTTTCAAAGCTGCCGTTTGCCAGCCCGCAAACCCTCCCAAAACTCTCCAAAACTCTCCAAACGCTCCAAGCCCTCCAAAACCCGCCAAACCCTTCAAACACCGTCCCCAGCAGGCACCTCAGATCCACAGCAATGGCTTTCTTATGGCTTTCAAAGCTGCCGTTTGCCAGCCCGCAAACCCTCCAAAACTCTCCAAAACTCTCCAAACGCTCCAAACCCTCCAAAACCCGCCAAACCCTTCAAACACCGTCCCCAGCAGGCACCTCAGATCCACAGCAATGACTTTCTATGTCCCCAACAGGCACCCCAGGGCCAGGCCACAGCAATGGCTTTCTATGCTTTCAAAGCTGCCGTTTGCCAGCCCGCAAACCCTCGCAAAACTCTCCAAAACTCTCCAAACGCTCCAAGCCCTCCAAAACCCGCCAAACCCTTCAAACACCGTCCCCAGCAGGCACCTCAGATCCACAGCAATGACTTTCTATGGGCCTCAAAGCTGCCGTTTGCCAGCCCGCAAACCCTCCAAAACTCTCCAAAACTCTCCAAACGCTCCAAACCCTCCAAAACCCGCCAAACCCTTCAAACACCGTCCCCAGCAGGCACCTCAGATCCACAGCAATGACTTTCTATGGGCCTCAAAGCTGCCGTTTGCCAGCCTGCAAAGGATCCAAACTTCCAGAATTCCAAACACCTTCCCCAACATGCACCCTAGGGCCAAGGCCACTTCCCCAACAGGCACCCCAGGGCAGCCCACGCAATGGCTTTCTTAGGCGTTTCAAAGCTGCCGTTTGCCAGCCCCGCAAAAACCCCCAAAAACTCTCCAAACCT